AAGACATGAAGCTCAACATCATTTATCATAAGGGTTTTGAAATAGCATCTCGGAATGGTAAAATATTGTAGTTGTTTAACTTCTTCCAACCATTCTTGCCATTTCTTAGTAAGTCCTGTTGTTAGTATTTCATCCCATGTTGTTTTTGTTCTCCAAATCTCTTGCACTAATATTCGACCTTTGATTGTAGTAGGGGTGACTAGTCCCAAAGGATCAAAGATAGACATCGCAGCCTTCAAAACCTCACGTTTAGTTGGATAACTTGATTCCATTTTTTGCAACTTTTCTGCATTGCGATGAAATACGAAATTGTCGCTTTCTGAATCCCACCACATTCCGAGAACTCGTTCAGTGGGAAGATTGCTATCATGCTTTAATTGCTTAGTTGAATTTGATTTCAGTTCTTCAGGAATTCCAGATAAAACATCTTTGGAGTTTGATAACCAATTGCACATTTGAAATCCACCTGATTTGTGAATTTCCATTATTTCTTTCACTCGAGTCTTTGCTTCTTCCTCAGAATTGACAGAGTCTAATAAATCATCCATGTATTCCTTAGTGAGAATTGATTTAGAAGCTTCAGGGTAGATGGATGAGAAACGTTTGGCATTTTCGTTCACTACATATAAAGCAGTGCTTGGAGAACAGGTCGACCCAAATGTCATCACCTCCATTACATACGTATCTGGAGGATCATTCGTGTTTTGCCTCCACAAAAATCTCTGTGAATCTACATCTTCTTTCCTTATGCGTACCTGATGGAACATTTCCTTAATATCACCAGCGACAGCAAATTTTCCCAGACGAAATTTTACGAGAACAGCTGGTAATGGATTCAAAAGGTCAGGTCCACTAAGAAGAGCGTCATTAAATGATACACCGTTCGACTTTGCAGCTGCATCAAAGACCAATCTTAATTTGTTGGGCTTATTGGGGTTCACAACTCCGAAATGAGGTAGATAATAAGTATGATCATTTAAAATACTTGCCTCATCTTCACTTAGTTTTCGAATATACTCTTTTTCTTTGTAGTCGGCAATCTTCCTTGTGTATTCGTCTTTAAAGGAAGGATCCTTTGCCATCTTCCCTTCAATGTGTTTTAGTCTTTTAAGAGCTTTATCGTAACTCGAGGGATATTTAAAATCATCTGATTTCCACAACAAGCCAGATTCATAACGTTCTCCGATTTTCCTCGTTGTTTTTTCCAAGATTGACATTGCACGTTCGTCTTCTACCGATTTTATTGATTTGTTTTTTACTGGAGATGCACCGTAGTTGTCAATTTCAAAGGAACTTTTCACCAAATCATGTAATCTGTCGTGATCAAAGGACAATAGGGTGAAATCGTCAACACGTCCAGTAAATTCTGGACACTTGCCATGCATTGACCACCCTAGGTAGCTCCATGACAGGACGGGAGCATTTGGCGGACCTTCAATAACTTTTCTGGTCAATAACAAGTCACAGTTATCTTGACCTATCAAAATGGTAGGTTTAACATGAGATGTTGGTAAAGGTTGATCGATTGACTTTAAATGAGGCCATATCTCACGAAGCTTTACTGAGTCAATCGACTGTTGGGGTAAATCTAGAGGTGATTGAGTTCTTACATTACTTAATGTGAAAATTTCATCTTCATAGAACCCTTTAGGTCAGTAGGTTTTTCTAAATGCATGCTATTTACATGTTCAGCCCACCTGTACTTCAGGGTATAGGGGAGCTTACTTAAAAGTTCATTCAACAAGAGAGGATTTATTAAGTACATTTCCAAATCCAACGACTCTGCGGTAGAGGTCAGGTTTAAAAGAGTTGTTGAAAACTCAATAAGGCTGACAGCGTCATCCTCCTTGACTGGTTGGAGCATGCGCGCCTTCTTCAACATTGACTCGACTATAAACTCTGGACGTCCAAAACGCATTTGTAAAGTTTTCATTACTGTACTCAAATTTTTACCTGATATAAATAGAGGTTTTACCATTTTAAAGGCATCTCCCTCCAGACAATTTCTTATTCTGTCAAGGTTTTCATCGTCATTAAAAAGGTGCTTAGTCTTATTGTAACAGGAATAGAACATGGGCCATTCGTCTGGTTTCCCGCTGAAGGATGGAAGACGCTGTCGGCAAGAGACAGGTTGGTTGGGGTTAGATAAATTGATAGCTTTTGAAAAGGAGTCAGCTAGTTTATCAATAGCCGTGGACACGATGGCTGACGATGTCAAAGGAACTGACGGTTCCTCATTCAGCCACCTATTGACTTTGACATTAGAGTCCTCCTCAACAGTAGCAATATTGAAGCTTACCTTGTCAGGGTCTTCATTATCTTCCAATTCCAAATGACGACTGCCCAAGACTGAGGCGGACTGACTACTTCCCAAGACTGAAGCAGACTCAAGTTCGGTCCTTACTCTCAGCAGACGCTTCTGTCGTTCTAGTTCTCTTGCTTCAGCTTGACGTTGTCGTTCCATTTCCCTCTCCTCTCTTCGCCTTTGTTGTTCCTGCATTTGACGCTCCACCTCTTTTTCTTCAAATTCTTTCAGCCGTTGCAACTCCCTTTCTTCGTGTATTTTCTCAAGCCTGTTTATTTCTTCTATTTCTTCTAGTTGCAGTTGAACTAACCGGCGCTTGCTGGAAGTTGAAGATTTGGTTTTTGACTTAGAAGGTGGTTTTAGAGATTGACTATCTCCTTCTATGGGTTCATCATTCTTGTCATTTGCATTTTCTGGGGAATATCTATTTGGAGGGTGTTTCTCTCTCCCTGACTTTCGGACTGACATATTTTTTGTCATGATTTATAAGTCGGGTTTCGGCACCAATGTTAAAATATTATAGACAGACAAGATAAAAGACTATTAGGACTTCACAAAAGATGTGTATTTATTTGACTGTTTACAAAAATCATAATAATCAATAAACATATGTTAGTTAAACTGTATATGAAATAAGGCAGGCATAGATTAGACATAGATTATTTATTACAGTATTATTTTTATTTTTAGTACAAAATAAATAACCTAAACACGTCGAAATTTTCAGTTTAATAATCCCTGCATTATACGCATCATTAGAAAAATTATATTCAACCATTAAACATCGTCGTATGGTTAGGCTTGCTTTATATTGCGCCAAAAAGTAGATCCATATTTTGATCTGTACTATCTACCTGATTAAAGAGTTTAGTGAAGTTTAAAGTGCTACTATAACATAATGTATTTATTGAAAAATATTATAAGCCTTAGTCCGTGTCGATTTTGTAATGTTAAAACGATTGGTGAATGTTGACAATAAAAGTATGTAACAACAGTTCTCATTGGCGTCGGTGCACTACCATGTCAGCCAATCGACTTTCGTGTTTCAATGGAGCAAATGACGATTGCTTTGACATCGTTTTAATGTTTTATTGTGGGTGGAAAGGTTATCGATAAATATCGTGATTCGAGATCCGATATGTAGGACGTGTTTGTTTATAAATAATGAGTATTTAAGTATAAAAAACTAGGTTACAGACAGGTTCAAAACTTCGATTGTCCCGATCCATTGTTGACACCCCTACACGGAGGTTATAGTGTGACGTCGTGCATAAGGGCCAGGCAGGCCGGTTCACAGTGAATCCACTCTGCCGAACCTTGTTCTTGGTATAATCGGGAACATAGTCAAACACTTTTGTTACTAAATAAAACTATGAAATGTTTGTTAAAAGCACTCTTTTGGAGATTTTAGTCCCAAAACATAATCTTTATTGTAGGCTAAAAGTAAAACCTATCTATTGCCATACTTTTCTCCACAGACGTCGACATAGGCTATTATGCAATGTCTTTAAAAGACTCTCCTTACAAAATGTATTTGTAGGCCAAGATGTTTGTAATTTTTTAAATGTATAACTGCAATTGCTTTTAAAAAGAAATACAAAAACTGACAAATGACTTAGATTAATAATTAAAAAGTTAAGCCTATTTATAAATTAGAGGAAACTTTATTAGATCTCATCATAGTCAAATTCAAACATTTACAGTATTTCAAAATAATTAACACTCTTGTGTAATGGAAATCTGCAAGCGACTGAGGCCGAGGGTGAGGGAGGGAATGTGAACCAGGCTTTAGAACAAGGGCAAATTCTGCCAAACTTTCTCTTTTCCTCCCCCATGTCCCGTTAGACGGTGGGTGGGGCTTCACACAATAAACAGTTCATTCATTCGCAGTAGAGAAAAGTTTTTGTGGCAGTGACGTATTTTTGCAATTTTTTTGCAATTAATAATAAACCTTTAACACCAAAATATAAGTTTGATAGGCCTACACATACTTATTGTGTTTTTTATATGGTATAAAAGTTTTTAACCATGGACTTTGGTTTTTAACCTTTGGATTGAGAAATGCTTTGTTCGTAAAAATGAAGATGGAATATATGTAAAAAAAGTTTGATTTTCTCGTGAACTACTCGACTCGATACTCGAGTATTAGGGCTAATTACTCGACTCGACTAAAAAAACACTACTCGCCCATCCTACACTCTACACATCCCATTGTTTGGAAGTGCCTAAGCCAGGAGCGGTGGCTTCACATGTGTTTCCAGGTTGTTGTTGCCAACCTCTCAACAAAAATTCCCAGCTAATCCCTGCCATTTAGGCAGCTGGTTCAAGTTGTGTTCGACCAAAAATAATCTAGACCTTCACAACATTAAGCTTTGACTCGTAAACCCATTTTTTAGGCATCGCTTACACAGTCCACGATTATCATCTGGTCGCAGAATATGTAGTCCAGAGCTCGTGAACTGCCTTTAATTGTTGTAAAATAACGTTTGGAAAGTATCTGCTTTGTTATGGGTTTTCTTTAATAATATTGGATAGTTTTTTTTTTTTTTTTAATACCCTAATAGAAGCATTTTAGATGAATAGACTAAACAAACAGGAATCAGAGAAAAAGATGACACTAGTTTCAGTTAAAACATGCTAATAATGCTTAGTCAAATACAGACCATCGGACTCTAAACTTAACTATATTACTTACCTTCTTGAAGAGCTGTTTAAAGACCCAAAGCAGAGCATGATAGTCTTTGGAGCGGAACACCTTGGTAACAAACCAACCACCTTTCTTAAGAAACTGTGTTGCTAACTTGAGGGCACTGAGTGTGAGACATATCTGCTGATATGCATCATGCAGCCAGTTTAGACCTATGAACAGTATCAGAGAAAGTTAGGACCATTTCTTACACCTAACCTGTGTTTTTATACATATAACTATCTTACTTAACCTCTGCAATCATAGCGAAAGCATGAATTTTAAATTTTGCAATTACAAAATCTTTAAACATACGTAAAAAATTAATCGTTCACATTATTGGCTATCAGAATGTGGTACGGTACCAGTTGATTCGTATGGTTGGAGTTCTAATATATAAAATACCGGTATGCCTACAGTCTGCGAGGGTTTGGAGGTCATCGCACACTATTTGCAGGCGCTAAGCATGAGGCCGATTTGCCTTGGCATTACTCATATCATCTTTGTTTTGATGAGTGGGTGGTCGCTTAATTTCCATCAGTGCGCTCTCGTGTTGACAAAAAATAATAATATAGAAAAAGCAAAAGAAATTAATACTATTGCAATAATTCAGCAAAAACTATTAAAACAGTTAGAAAAAACTCTTACAAAACTCCAGATGAAAAACTGAGTACACTTGGAAAAACGCAAGGGGGCTGATCACCATTAAGTCAGATTGGTAGTTTTGATTTGTGTGTAATCGTAAATATAATACGTGAGTCTACATGAAAAACTGTTGAGGGAAAAAATCAATTTAAAATGGAGCAAATGGGCAGTTTGTCGCCTCCTGAAAGATATATAGGTTTTTTGGCAAGGTTTATTTTATTTATAAGGCAAACAGTGTCAATAGAGACTATCATGGCACAATGACAAATTACACTTTTTAAATGAAAAACTTAGATACAAAACTCTAAAATTTTGCGAAATAATATGTATAAAGAGTACCATATTTAAATGTGCTCTAAAATTCTAAGTATGCTTTTGTAACACGGAGAAATAATTGAATAAATCATTAAACAGACTAGCTGTTACCCACGGGCTTCACCCCGCTTGAATTTATAAGTATTAATAAAACTATTGATTGGTTAAGTTAAGCTGAAATAAACAAAACAGAATACAGTAATACAAACAAATAATCACACCTGATTTTAATAAGGTAATAAATTGAAGGAATAACATACAAATAAGTACAGCTGAGTTATTTTTAACATTATCTTAGGGATGGTCAAGTCTCGAAATTTCGGGAAATTTTAAATCTCGTTACACGATACGAGATTTCTTTTTGGCCGAGATTTTTATCGAGACGAGAATAAAAAAAAAAAATTTAAAAACGCCTGCAGAAAGTCAATGCAATACCCGCAATACAGGAGCGTGTTGTAGTTGCGTTTCCTTTGCGAAGGCATTTTTATTTAATTAATTCTTCAAATGTAAATATTACTTTAATTATTTTAATAACATTTGAGAAGTTTTGTTAAGGGTTAGCAGTGTAAGGAATGTTTTATTACTATAAAAAAAGTCAAAACAAGTAACTATTTTATACAAATTAATATTTTATTTTATGATTTATTTTATTTTAGGATAAGTTGAACTCTATCCTAACTGATATCACTATGTTTCCTAATCGTAGGCATTTTCAATAATTTAGGCGTGATTAATAAAAAAATGTTATGCTGATGTTTTTTAATAAAAGATTGTAAATATTCTTGCCTATTATCATTATTTTTGTATTTAAACAGTCATCTAACAATGTTACAAAATCAGGTAAAAATTCCGAACGTGCATTTCCCTTTGTGTATGAGAAGGGAAATCCCGTCTCGATCTCGTCTCGAAATTGTATGAGAAATAAAAAATCTCGTCTCGTCTCGTCTCGAACTAAAAATCCAATCTCGTCCATCCCTACATTATTTATACTAGCTGTTACCCACGGGCTTTACCCCATTTGACTTCATAAGTATTATCAAAACTATTGATTGGTTGGTTAAAAGTTAAGCTGAAATAAACAAAACAGAATATAATAATACAAACAAATAATCACACCTGATTTTGATAAGGTAAATTGAAAGAATAACAAACAAATAAGTACAGCTGTGGCATTTTTAACATTGGGTAGGCCTATATGGAAAGTACCCTTTAGAAAGGAATTACGATCTTAAAGGGAAATTTATGAAATAATGGATAGTTTTGCGCAAGGTTTCTCGTCATGACGAACATTTTAAGTTTATGGTTTATGGGAGGTGTTACTTTTAGTTTTCTCAAAAGTTCATGGGTAGGCCTACTTTGGGATTGATATATGGACTTTCAATTTATAATAGTTTAACTTTTAAAACTTTACAAACTTTACTTTGTAATATTATCTTTTTTTGCACAGTAATATCACTATGCCTTTTAATTGTAAATCATTTTGAAATATTATTTATTAATATTACCATAAAATTTAAATGTAATATCGACTTACACCAAAAAAAGGCAATAGGTCATTTTATTTAGCCTTGGTGAAAGCAAAAATAGTTATGACATACAGAATAGAAGATTGAGAGCTGTAACTAAGAGAGCAAATTTGCTTAAGTGAAGACAGCTAAAATTGTTGCGCCAAGTGTTCGAGTGTAACGCCTTCAAACTGAAAAATAGGCCGGGGCTAAGGGAACTTCTTAACTCTTGCGAACAGTAGTTAAATTTTGATTACTTGCACCAGGTGTTAGATTTATTGAAGATACAGTTGTATCGCCATCCTATGAGATTTATAGAGCTACTGACCAACATTGGGGGCTCCGTCATGTAGGAAACAGTCCGCCTTCCAGGTCTGCAGCTCTTTGCCTAGAGCCTTCCGACACTTGTCTGTGGTGATGTCTTCTTGGAGACAAATGCAGCCAGGGATGGTCGGTATCGTGTAGAGATCCACACCTTTTGGCCAAAGAATTGTGTGAATAGATAGAAGAAATTACTGTATGTTACCTTAATTTGTCAACAGGCTAAAAAGGCAACTTTCTTCATTGTGACTAAACAAATATTAAAAATTCAAATATTTTTTTATTGTAAATTATTTAAACTCAAATCAGTACAGGCTGTCTTAACAGGCCAACTTAAGATCAGAGGGACCAGTGGTTGCTATAACGGCAATAATGGCTCTGATTTTCCAGAGCTGATTGAAGTGAAAAATCAAAATAATAATTGTTATTTTATCAATTATCTATCATTAGGGATGGCTTAAAAATTGCACACCTTTTTACTGTCTTTAAATTCAAACACCCAAACTTTTTATATCAGCTGTGGTGAAAGTCAATGTACTTGTTAACAAACTAATCAGCTGATTTCATTGTTGTCTGAACATGTTATTGTTTATTCAATGTAGTCAGTTCCTTTAACTTTGTACGCTTACTTTTAAAGTGTACACACAGTCTAAAAGGTAAGAGGAACTGAGGCAACCAGTTCCCATGGTCACCTTAAGCATAATTTCCCTCCTTCTCTATACAGTAGGTTAAATAGCTTTAGACTTTTAGGCTTATTGACAATAAAACAAAAAATATAGGTACTACAGCATTTACTATCCATACAATTTATCTGAGATTGAGATTATCACTGCCAGAGTTAATTTTATCACTAATACTACACTTCCTTACAATGATAATAACAAAGTTAAGCTTTGGTCAATACAATGCTATTGTAAAAATAACAGCACTTCTGCAGCAGTTTTGATTGTGTTTGTGTACTATAGAATAATTTTATTGTGTTGACCCATTGAAAACATGAAAATTCAAGCAACCGTAAGACTTTGACAAGTCCACTAGGTACTCGTAACATAAGCACGGACAACTCAGTGGAGCGTACGTTTCCACTATACTAGGCTCTGGTTACTTAGCAACTGTAGGCTACTAGCATTAGCAGAAAACTAAATATGAGTTAGAAATTTAAAAAACGTGAAAAACATCTTAAAGACTATAAATTTTACATTTAGAGTAATATTGAAAAAAGATAATCAAGAAACTATAAAAACTTTGTCCTTACATTTTTAATCAAAAACATTTAACCTAAACACAAAAATAATAATAATAATAATGGGTGATTGATTTAACACACAAATATTTACGCTTTTAAAAGAAAACTTAAAAAAAAAACATTAATAAACACTTTGGACTACTAGCTCACAGCTGCATAACAAAGAGGCATTAGGAAGATGTATACTGTCGGGGGGAAAAGTTTAGATACCAAAGTTTGGAGATCTACAGTAAAGTAATCAAACTACTTAAAAAAATACGGAGTATACAAATTTCTTTTTCATCCTTCTGGATTCGAAATAGCCCATTTACATACAGCTGAGATCCTTGAAAATCGTCAATTTTCATACAACAAAAACAAATAGCGATCAGATGACTTTTCCTGAAATAAATACAGTATTACTTTCGCTACACAAACAATACTTTGCCTGACACCAACAAAGTTACAACGAATAGATTACGAAATATCAGATGATTTTTAAAGTTTGATGGAGTAGTTTTTTTCATCGTCATAATAAGTACCTATCGTTCAATACTCGTCAGGAAAGTCCCATTTCGGGGTTCGATAGTGTTTCAACTCGCGTGTAAAACACTATCTCGCCCCGAAATGAGTCACTTTTGTGACTAGTAGTGAAATATACTATTGTTTGATTCTGTATGTACTCTTGTGAAAACAAATATTTTTTAGCTAATTTATAAATTTTGTTGGGTGGAGTGGGGTAAGTGGGGTCACGGGGCAAGTGAAGCCAGTGGCTACCTCGGCCTTATAAGTGGTAAATTAAACAAAAATACACCAAATTATGTTTATTTGGACCTTTATCTAATATATTCAACATTAACATTGAGTGTAACTGGACAAAAACTAATTTTTTTTACTTTATAAAATAAACCTTGCGTTTTGTTGCCAAATGGAAGTGCACGGGTCAAAGTTTGCAAAATTATTACCACTATATGGAAAGTCCTAAACTCAAAGTTGTGAGTGTTTCTAGTAGTTTTTTATGTGTAGATTAAGCCTGTGTAACCCACTTTGCTCAAAAATGCTTGGTAAAAAAAATAAAGCCGTGGCCTCACTTACCCTGGCAATTTTTGATGTGGGGCAAGTGCAGCCACAGCCTCCGGGGTAAGAGCAGCCAGTAAAAATTGTTTTTATCTGTACTCTTTACAATTACAATTGTTTTATTTGTGACATTAACCATTAAGTTTATTTAACAAAGACAGTAAGGTGTTTTTTAGTTGAAATGTGACTTTCAGTTGATTTTTAGACAAAACATACGTTCCAAGTGTGAAATTTAGGATTACGGTACACATTTTTTTTTATTAGGCTACAAAAACATTGTAAGGCCTAACATGTAAGTTTTAATAATTAACAGCAACAAGGAGTTTTTAGCGAAAAATAGATCTAGCTTAGTGATTTTAAGTGGCTTTTTAGTTGAATAATAATAGGGCTACAACCATGAGACTGGCGTTCCAAGTGTAGAATTTTGTTAACACAATGTAAACAATTAATAAAATGTAATAAAAAAATCATGTTTGTGCATAAAATGTATAACAAACCATGCAGAAGAGGCCAGAAAATAATACTTATCATGAAAGTACAACAATTAGGTGTTATTTTATTAGTTATAAGAAAAAGTAATATCTTTGAATTTTTTTAGATTTTCACGTTGCCGTGGTTTTGATCACAAAAAAGTTTGTAACTCATGAAAAAATAAAGATATCTCAATGATTTAAAAATTGCCAAACTCAGTGAAAAATGGGCTATAAGCCACTTGCCCCCATGTCTCTCTATGTGTGTCTTAAAGGGGAAATCCAGGCCCTGGCTGCACTTACCCCGAACACCTGGGAAAGTGCAGCCACTGAACATAGTCTAAAAAAAAATTTTCTACTGGACAAAAGGTTAAAGGAATTCTAAAATCGATTATATCACTAGATAGCCAGTAAAGTAGAGATAAGGCATGCCAAGTTTCATTGAATAATATTAAATAATAACTTGGTAAATTGAGCTCAAAGTCAAACTATGAAAAAAAGTGGCCCCACTTACCCCACTTCACCCCTATATTTAGTTAACATTGTGCAAATTTTCATGCTCATAAGTTGGTTTTTGAAACTAAAACTAGGTATTTTAGGCCCCTACCATTCGATTGTCATACAAAATTTTATAAAGTGGCTAAGATTAATTATAATGAGAAATTTGTTAGCAGTTCAAGGAATACATGTAAGGCTGCTTGGCAAATAGTAAAATCAGAAAGTGGGGATTTTTTCAAACATAATAATACCGTTCCACCTTTTTCAGCAGATGATTTTAATAACCATTACATAGATGTTGGAAAAAAGGTGGTAGAGAAGGCTCATGTTGAGCAAGGTAGGAGTTTGGATTTCTCTAATTTTCTCAATAATGCTAATCGTTCTAGAAATAAATTTTCGTGGAAATTGGTAACAGAGAATGACATGAAAAAAATAATAAGATCTCTTAATCCATCAAACAGTGAAGATGCTTACGGTTTTTCAAACAAAATTGTAAAATTCATAGCTCCTTACATTATGGAACCACTGATTCATCTTGTTAATATGGTGTTTTCTACTTCAACCTTTCCAAATTGCTTAAAAATTAGTAAAACAATCCCTCTTTATAAGAAGGGAGATAAATTTCTTATTTCAAATTATAGACCAATTTCAATGGTTCCAGTGTTATCAATATTAGTTGAATCCTGTGCTAAAGCCCAGATCTTTGATTTTCTTAACTTAAATAATATTTTAAACAATAACCAATTTGGTTTCAGACCGGGTCGTTCAACTACTTTGGCTATAGAATCGGTGGTGTCTGATGGATAGTTTTGAATCTGGTGGTTATCTTAGTGTGGCACTTTTAGACCTCAGTAAGGCCTTCGATTCGGTCTTACATACAATTCTTTTGCAGAAATTAGAATTTTATGGAATAATGGAGCACGAACTAAATTTTTTTAAATCATACCTCTGTGGAAGACTACAATTTGTCAATTTAGGAAAAGATAGGTCAAATTTTAAGGAGGTCCTTGCTGGGGTTCCTCAAGGGTCGGTACTGGGTCCGGTTTTGTTTATTCTCTATATTAATGATTTGCCAAACTCCATACCTTGCAAAACAATTTTATATGCTGACGACACAACCTTCATCTCATCAGCTGACAACTTTTACTCTGCAAACCAAAGTATAGAAAACGCCATTAAATTGGGTAAACTATGGTTTGAAAGTAATTTTCTGGAAATAAATCATGATAAAACAGAAAAAATTTGTTTTACTTTGCGTAATCTTGAAGCAGACAATGCAGTTTCTGTCAAACTACTCGGAATATCCATAGACTCTAAACTCACTGGGAAATACATATTAATAATATCATTTCAAAATTGTCAAGAGTATGTTGTTTGATAAGAAAACTTAAAAATTGTGTTTCTAAACCAACACTTCTAATTGTTTACCACAGTTTATTTCACTCACACTTGCTGTATGGCAATATACTGTGGGGTAATAGCTCAGGAGCTCACCGGGTTTTTACATGGCAAAAGAAAGCTCTCAGAATTATGTTTGAAATTCCCGATAGGGTTAGTTGCAAAGCATTTTTTGCTGAAAATAAAATCATGACACTCTCTAATATTTTCATTTTTTACAATTTAGTTTCCGTTAAAGAGAATCTGAATAAATTTGTTCCTTGCAACTCAATCCATGGGTATATCACCAGACAATCAAAAGATTTATATATTCCTCAAGCCAGGCTATCAAAATTTATCAAAAGTTATAAATATTTGCAAATAAAACTATTTAATAAACTTCCAATATATTTTAGAAATCAGGAAAGTATTCATTTGTATAGGTCAAAATTATCAGATTGGCTTACAAGTCGTGCTTTTTATTCAGTTGAGGAGTTTTTACAGAATGTAGATTTTTCAACGCTTAAATGTGAGGCCAAGCAGTCTTGATGATTCTTTGTTTGTGTTATGGTCTTTTCCCTGTTAATTTCAAAGTTTTTATTATTGCTGATGCTTTTATCCTTTTAAGATTCTTTTAACTTTATTTTAACATTTTCTGTAGAATATTTAATATTTTATATAACATATGTAACAAAACATGTTGACCTTGTCTATTGTAATGTTTATATTACCAAACGACAATAAAGATATATTATTATTAGTAGGATTATTATTATAAACGAGCTAAAAATACTTATTTTTTACAGGAAAATATGTAGGGTGGAATAAAACAAAGGAAATTTTGATATAGGCCCACTCCATTTTTTGTCTATGTAGAGCTTCATACTCGAGTGGATTTTAAGCTTTTCCCCCAAGCAGTAGGAGCTTTTTATAGCGTATTTAACAATAGGGAAAAACTATGAATATTTGATTAAAAAACACCTATAGCGAATTTCACATATAGGAAATAAGTTATTATCGTAGTACTCATGGTAAGACCTGGACCTAGGACCGATTTAATTTTTCATTTTGAGGTCCCTAGAGGCAAAAAACACCATTCGTTCAAATTTATATATATATATATTTATTTATTTATATATATATATATATATTTAGCCAATATATGTGTGTGTCCGTTAGCGCGATAACTCGAGCAAAAATTATCCGATTTTGATGAAATTTGGTACAAATGTGTATATGTAAACCTTCGTTTGGGCCTATTCGAACAAGTTTGCGATCCAGCATAATCGGACCATGGGAACAGGGGTTTATGAGGGGTTTTATGGGGTAAAAATTGGTTTTTCCCATTTTTGACCCTAAAAACAAAACATTTTGCATTTTTTAACCGTTTTGTAGAGCTTATAAAAGAAATAATTAAGTATATTGAAGCGCTGTTGTATGCCTAACGGTAATGGAGAAAATTCAAAAATAGTGTAATTTAAAATTCCTATGTTTTTCTTATGGAGAAAATGAAAATTGTTGTAGTTTACTTGTTTAGGGATATATATTGATAAAATTTGGCAAATTTATTTATTTCATCCTGTTGGTTATTCCTCCAGGAACCCATATTGACGGTTCCCGAGTAATAGTTCTTCAATATAGTTAGTAATTTTGTTGATAAGCCTAAACACGATAATTTGAACATAAGGGCATCTCTGTCTATTGTATCAAAAGCTGATGAAAAATCAATAAAAAAACAAAATAGTTTCCCCTTGTTTTCCTCTAATCTTAAGTGTCCCATACAGGTTCTAAGGTTAAAAATATTATCTATTGTTGAATACCCCCTCCTAAACCCAGCCTGAAACTAACTTATGTTAATATATTTTTTTCATGGACCCAATTAGTAAGTCTATTGTTTACTAAACCAATAAAAAGTTTTGCTATACAGTCAATAAAAGATAAACCTCGGTAATTTCCTACGCAGTTAATATCCCCCTTCTTATGCAACGGAAACACAATTGAACTTTTAAAGGATTCTGGTACTATTCCCGTTTTATAACAATTATTGTAGATTTTAAGTTATGGAGCACAAGTGTGGGGCTTTTTGGAATCCAAAACAATAGAGAACGCACAAAACTTTTTTATTAAAAAATTATTTTGTCTACCTAGAAACACTCCCAATTATGTGTTATATTTATATTGTTTCGAGAAATTGCATATTTATACATTAGCACTACATATCAAGACAAGACAGAAAATAGACTCCCACATATGCTTGCCAAACAAATTATTTCAAAAAATATTTAATTAAAATCGATTGGGTGCAAAAGAGGAATGACGATAGATTTTAATATTGATGATTTAGACGCACTCCAGACACAGCTGTTTGGTCTGGTAGAGGTAGAGTGGCGCTCATGGAAGGGGGAGTGCGAGGGGAGAGCGATTCAACGTCTTTGTACCACCAACAATATCTCTCTCTTGACCTTGAGCTCGGCGACAGACCCTTGCTCACTGATAACTTGGACATTTCCCTTATATCCTGGATTATTAAGGCCAGAGCAGGGCTACTGTCATTAAATTATCAACCTTGGATAGAGAATAAAAATTACATTTGCTCTCTATGCAATAATAGGCAAATTGAATCAGTGTTTCATTACGTAGCAGTATGCCCAATTCTAAAGAATATCAGATATTTTTGGCTAAAAGCACATTCTTTGAGTGAAGACAAATTCTTTGATTATTTAAATGGAAGGGATTGGCGGGCTTTGGGTGGTTTTTTAAGAGATGCTTGGAGTGTAAGATGGGATCTAATACAGGAGTTTAACTTTTAGACAAATGAAAAAACAAGTAATCTCAAAAATTATTGTTTCCTTGTTTGTTACTTTTGTTAACAATTTTGTTTGTAGATAGATCTTTAATGTAAAAAATGTATTTTATGTTAAGTTTATTATTTTATTTTCAGTCTTTGTCAAGGAGTTACTTTCTGTTATTTATTTAAAACATAAATTAATGTGTCAACCAAACAGACGGTTTAGTAACCATTGTTTTTGTGTGCACATAAGTATGTATCATTGTGTAATGTTCCAAATTGTACAATAAAGCACATTTTATTTCATTTCATATTTATTTCATCCTATAGGCCTACTATTGACGTATGGTCAAAAAACACTTTTTACCTTCCCCGTAGCAGCAAACCTAAGCACTCGTTAAATCTAATGTTATTTAAATAGGGAATAAATATGTCTTATTTATAGAAATATTTTAGTAAAAATGTAATCAGGCAAATTGAAATTTGCTTAGTCTGCAGGTTTGCTGCGGCGGGGGTATTTCATTTTATCGTAGCAGCAAACCTAAATACTCGTTAAATCTAATGCTATTAAGATAGGGGAAAAATTACTTATGGAAATATTTGAGTTAAAAATCTAATCAGACTTGAGTTGAAATTCGCTAAGATTACTCTGCAGATTTACTGCAGCGGGAGGGCTTAAACTTGTATGCATAGGTTTAGTCATGACAAAATTTCATAAGTTAAGTTAATCATTTGCTTCTAGAGGCATGATGTGATTTACCAACAACAATGCTGGATACTGGCATGTTCTGCTTGGCAACTTGCATCCATCCTCCAGGGGCAGCACATAGATCTACCAGAACACGGGAACGCTGCAAGAAGTTGAACTTACGATTCAGCTGGATCAACTTGAATGCAGCACGAGAACGGTAGCCTGTAAAGAAATCACTTTATTTTAAAAGGAGTAAGAACTTTCAAAATTGCATACTTCTGAGAGATAATTTGTGTGACTTAATTTAATAACTAATCGATAGAAAGTTTGTGTTTTGGATGGACTAAGTTTGGTTATTGATCAAGAAGCGATACTTTTGCAGAAATAGAAATCACGATTGAGACAAAAATCAAAGTTTTGCCTTTTAATCAGAACCAATAGGCCTAGGTCTAAGTTAGGCCTAAGTTAACTTAAAAAATAGGCCTAACACCCTGGCGAGATGTTACCTTGCAAAGCTGTGAAACGTTGTAGGTGTCATAGCTCATTTGTTGTTAAGCGCAACCAAATAATACTACCAATGTCTTGTTAAAGAAAAGGGAAGCAAGACTGAAAAAGGTTTTTATACTTGTGCCAATATAGCCTAGTAACCCCAATAGGCCTTTAGGCCTAGTGGTGGAACTGTACCCCCTAAAGTAGTAAATAAATATTTTGTTATTTTGTTACTCAAGACGAAGGTAAGTTTTCCATACATAGGCCTAAGTCATGTAGGCTATGACATAATAACCATTAAGGTGTACCCAAAAGGAGAGGGATGTCATTACACTAGCCTATGACAAGTTATTTTATTGGGTTTCAAAAGGCTATGTTTGACATTTTATTAATTTATTTTACAATAATCACATAATAAGTTATAATAACATCATATTCAGACAGGTGATTCATCATTGTTACAATATTTTCTAGTATCTATACTAAAATTAGAATAAAGTTCATACGCCAAGCCTGAACATCTACACAGCTTCCATAATATGGAATATTATATTCCTCCAATGAGTAAGATTTTAAAAGGCCTTCCCCAAAAAAAAGTTGTTTAACTCCTTTTTGAATGTAGGGTATGTATATGAATCAGTGTTTCTAATTGAAGAAGGTAATTTGTTATATATTTTTGGGCCCATGTACTGAGGAGACAAATGGAAGACTTTAAGTTTAACCATTTTAAACCACTCAAAAAAGCTTTAAACATTCCTCGATTAAGTTAGGTATTCAATCATCTACCAGATTATATTCAAGATTTACCATTACATAAATTTAAAATAGCTGTTAAGAATTTGTTATTGAAATAGGTACTGTTTTTTTACCTTTGAAATGTTTTATTAACTTAATTTACATATTGACGCAGCCTATACAGCATTGTATGATTTTTGTACATTGTTGTCTCGGAATAAAGATTGATTGATTTGATTTCATTTGAACCGGTTTTATATTGTTTTTTAAATCTACTTAGTGTAAGTTAATGAGGATGCACATGTTGATCTTCCATGAATGTGTCAAAATCACTTTTAACCATTAAAGCCAGATTAACTAAGAACTAAGGCTAAGTTAAGCTTATACAAAGTAAGAATTTTAAACCGAATGAAAAACTCTTTACAGTGAGTAATTCAAGAAACTTTGGCTAACTGCTATTTTTTGGAGGATAAAAATTTGTTCCGCTATGTGTTACTTTGCATAACTAGAAGAACCTCTAACCGTTAAACCGTAATTCTTGATGGAAGAAAAATAAGTGTAAGTTAGTAGCCTAGGCCACTATACTGATAATAATTGTGCGTCTAAATTTGTAGTATCTTGAATTAGGTACCCGAAGAACAAATGTAGCTGATCTGAGTCCCTTTGATAAATTATTAACCTGTGTTTGCCAATTTAGTTGCCAGTCTACCTATATCAATTCCCAGGTAATTGACTGAGTTTTGGGTATATGTAACTTAGGCTATATTGATGTTCGGTTTGAATTTACAACAATGTCTCTATTCTCATTATTAGCAACAGAAAAGTGATCTGTGAACCAGTACCCGAGGAGTTAAAACTCATTAGCAATTAGGCCTACTTAAGTCTTGCTTAAAATCCAATGTTTTTGTTAAAGATTAAAGCAGTGTCATCTGCATATTGAAAAGTATACATTTTTTAACATTAAATAGGCCTATGCCTAGATCATTAACATAAATTAAAAATAAACAAAGTCCAAGAATGGAACTCTAAGGAACTCCATAGGGTGTACAACTCCACTGACTTATATTTAGTTTGGCATTTCTGTACAGTATTATAATTCGGGTACAGTTTCTTTAACTGGGCTACGCTAATATTGATTAAAACTATCGAATTGAAAATATTGATTAATAATCGATAGTTTCAATCAATATTAGCGTAGCCCAGTTTATTTATTTATTTATCATACGGTAAACACCATTTTTACAATCGAAAATACATGAGGGCAAGTTACAATAAAATATACAGTTAAGAAACTGTACCCTTTAATTATTTGTTTACGGCTTTTTAAATATGAAAAATTAAGTAGGCTAAACTGCAAAGCTAGTCTGTTTAAATAGGCCTACCTGTTTCTTTGGCAAGGTGGTAGAACTTGTCTTTACGTTGTTTTCCAACTTTCGACTTTTTCCCCATTTCCACGGAGTTTGGTTTGTCTTCAGTCCTAGACTAATTTAAATATGTATAGTCCTACCTTAAGTTTAAATTTCTGGGCTTAGATTGTACATTCTACACGACAGAACAGAAAGAATTACATTAACATTCTTTTCAGAACATAAACATAACCTAGTTGCTTGGAGTTTGACTTCGGTTGAAGAAGTCGAGTCGAGACACGTGCGTTGCTTTCAGCGTTTCAGCAGTTTCAAATGGTTTCAGCCAGCAGGCAGCATTCAGCAATCAGCAATCCATCCATGTCCAGCTTTAGTTTTTTTTCTTGCCGATAAGGTGGTCTGGGTATTTTTACCCATGACACCTCAGTGTTCTCTGTGGTTGTCCATGTGTAAACACAATCTTATTTTCCAGATAAGTCAATAGGGCGGCCGTGCAATAGGTGAATAAATTATTGTTTGTTAGTAAAAAAAATAGATGTGGTATATCGTAGTGCATGTTGTTTTTGTTAATTAAAAGTGGGATTCGGGATTCTAAAGATTTTGACGCATTTCATGAAATGGAAGGTTAAGGGTCCGCTCTACCTGCACGGCAAAATCGCATTTATTTATCATACGGTAAACACCATTTTTACAATCGATAATACATGAGGGCAATACAATAAAATATTTATAAATATATATAAGTCAGATTCAGATTCATCTTGCTGAAAAAAAAGATTGCTAACATGAAAAAATGACACCAACAGAATTGTCCAAAAATGCTTTAACAAAAATTGGATCATGCGTATTATAAATCCTAGTTAACAAGCATAAACATTTTTAGAGAAAAATACGATTACCAAAACTAGATAACAATTGATAAATATTTCAATATAATAACAATAACAAGCAAAAATATAAATATATTTGACAGACAAGACAAAAAAAAAGAGAAAAATGACAATAATTAATAACAGTGACGTAAACTAAGTGAAAAATTTTAACAGTGCAATACAAATTTATCTGAATGTGCAAACAACAAACAAGGTGCAAATTCCGGACAGTGATCTCAGGACAATTTCTCATCAACAAAATAACAATAACAATAACAACTTAAACTATGATATTTTTTATGGCTTTCAGTTTGCAGGTGAACACGTCAACATGTTGGCATGCTTGATTTCCAATTCTGTGGAGCCGTGGAATTGTACTGTGGAAGGCGTAGTTTGTAGAAAAAGAAGCTTTGTTGAAGAGTTGAATGTGCCTGAAGTGTCGAGGAACGTGGAAATTAATTAGGCGAAGTATTTCTGGAGCATCAACTTCGCCGTTCAACAACTTCCAGAGGAAAGACAGGTCTGCAGATTGTCTACGGTCACTCAGTCGAGGAAGGCCCATATCGATGCGAATATCTTCAATCGGCACTGTATATAATTCATGGCCCAACTTGACGCCAATAGAGCGAAGAAAGCGATTCTGAATTTTTTCTACTCTTGATATGTGGCTGATTTGATGTGGATTCCATATCAAGCTGCCATATTCCAGCACAGGCCTAACCTGAGTCATGTAAAGAGTTCTCAGAGCATTAACATCAAGTCCGTATCTACCACATCTAATGACAAAACCTAGAGCTTTAGAGGCTTTATTGCAGATTGTATTTATGTGCAGATCTGGGTTTAAATCGTATGACATTAAAACTCCTAGGTCTCGTATGGCATTCTTCCGTGGCAGGATGGCATTATTCATCGTGTAGTAGAAGTCAATACGCTGCTCGGTACGGTGATAAGATACCACTGCAGACTTTGAAACATTGATATCCATGCTGTTATCCAGACACCAGTTGTCGATTGAGTGCAAACATTGTTGAAGGGTGGAACAGTCTGCCTGAGATTTTATACACTTGAAAACCTTGATATCGTCAGCAAACAGCAAGCACTGAGAGTCGATACTATCCACAACATCGTTAACAAATATATTGAAAAGAAATGGACCTAGATGAGAACCCTGGGGGACTCCAGAAACCGCAGGGAAAGGGATTGACTTGGCTCCTGCAAACTTGACAGCTAAGGTGCGGTCTTTAAGATATGATTCAAACCATCGCAAAAGGCTTCCGACTATGCCATACCCTTTTAATTTTGCCAAAAGATGGTCGTGGCTGATGCAGTCGAATGCTTTACTAAAGTCAATATAGATACAATCTAGTTGCTCCTTGGATGAATATGCTGTGATTATGTGATGTTGCAAAATAAGAAGATTAGTGTTTGTAGATCTACCCTGCATAAAACCATGCTGAGCCACACTTAACAAGCTCTTGAAGGGAAAACTAATTGCATCAAGAAGGAGACTCTCAAAGATTTTTGCGAGTGCAGGCTGAATCACAATGGGTCTATAGTTTTTTACTTCCTCTTTAGACGCAGACTTGTGTATTGGTACTACGAAGCCCATTTTAAATTCAGCAGGAAATACACCAGATGCTAAGCTGTCATTGTAAAGAACAGTTAGCTGGGGAGCAATGAGTTCGCTACAGTGTTTTAGAACGGATGGAGGTATTTCATCAGGCCCGATTCCTTTGTGAGGATCCAGTGACTTCAGTTTCTTCAAGACATCTTCAGGGGATAAGACGCAAGATGAAATGTTGAGATGAGTGTCGAATGAATACACTGGTGGTGGAGTTGAAGGTTGTCTATATACAGAAGAGAAATAGTTTGCGAATAGATTACATGTTTCAGCTGGATCAGACGCATGCTGTCCATTGAATGTATAACTGCATGCCGAGTCTCTATCACGCTTCATTTTGTTTACAAAGCTCCAGAAGATTTTTGGGTTACTAGGCACAGAAGAGTTTATATGGGCAACATAATCAGAGAAGCATTTGTCAGCAAGTATTTTGCACCTGGCTCTAGCTCTACTGAACTCCTCGTAGTCGGCGCGTAGCAATGAATATTTGTACCGAGCATGAAGTGACTTCTTGAGCACGACTAGTTTCTTCAACTCGGCATTGAACCAACATGGAAAACGTGTGGCCCCAAGTTTCTTCATAGGTGTGAACTGTAGAACTGTAGATCTGATAGTTTCCAAGAACCAGCTGAAGATACTGTCTTGCATTCCTGGGATCCTATAGTAGACTGTACCCAATTTGTTGAGGAGACTCTGATATATCATATCAAGATCACATCTGTTGAAATCAGGGACATAAAGTGTGCTTTTTTGATCGGCAAAGGTATCCACATTCAGATCGATAGATAAAGCTGGGTGGTGAATATCTTCAAGAGTTAGAATATTGTCCAATGCATGTGAGACTTTAGTAGAACTAGACGAGGAAAAGACCAGATCAAGAGTGACTCCCCTGGCATTAGTTCGCATTACAGTTCGACCGACTGCCGCTTGGCGCGCTCCTCGGCCAGGCGCGTGAGGGGAAGGGACACCGCTTCCGTGGAGAAAATTAGTTACCGTAGTGGTTGCTGGGGCCCATTTCATAATAAAATACAAACTAATATTATTAGTAAATCAGCTGATCGCCCAATGCAAATCTTATGGAAATTACAAGTTACAAGTTGTAACTTGTAACTTGTAGTTTATTATGAAATGGGCCCCTGGTTGGACTGGTACTGGTTCGATGCAGCCACGGCACACAACAAATGCTCGATTATCGCTGCGCTCAACTCTGCCACTGAAACCGTTGGCTACTCACACTGACCACTGACTATTAATTGTGCTTACAGCACCTATGAAATCTCAAACATTATAGCTTAATATCTTCCATTTAAGTATTAAGCTTGCTGATTTTACCACAAATTTTATTTACCTTCCCTTGAAAGTTAATGGATAAATAAATGTCAATGTACAAGTAAGATTTAATGTACAGGGTTAGTAAAAAGCGTGGAGACCCCCTGTTATATTTTGACGGCCCATACTAGAAAAACTAAACTCGGCACACCTTTATGGCATGTTATGAAGTACTTTTCGGGCATAACCGCCACTTGTTGTACGTCCCCGAAATGGGGGATTTTGTAGGAAGCTCAAAAATTTTAAATGAAAAGACCCATCAAGTGACCCCTCATTTTGAAGGTCCTGATAAAAGAAAACCAACAATGCAAACTAGAGGTCTCTATCTCAATCCAGTAAAATATTGTAGCCAATTGAAATTATCAGTAGTTAAATTTAACTTACAGCTTTCCAAGTCTGGAGATCCCCTGTAAATTTTGTAACGGCTCACACTAGGAAAACTAAACTCTACACACCTTTTTAGCATGTTATGAAGTACTTTTTAAGCCTAATAGCTACTTGGTTCCCAAACCCAAAATGGGGTATTTTGGGGAAACTCAAACATTTTAAAGATAAGCCCCGTTGAGTGACCCCTTATTTTGAAGGTCATAATAAAAGAAAACTAACAACGCAAACTAGAGGTCTCTATCTTAACACAGTAAAATATGGCAGCCAATTTAATATAAAATTGCAAGTTATTTCTGATTTCTAAAGATTTCAATCTGCTATATTTTTTTCCGGATTGAGATGGAAACCTCTAGGTTGCGTTGTTAGTTTTCTTCAATAATAATTTTTTTTTATTGTTTAGGTGAATCGGTAGAACATTATGGCTAAGGTAAATGTGTAATACCATAGTTTACCGTCAATTTAAAGAAGCAAATTTTATCAAACTTTGTCCTCCCCCATTGCAAATGCAAAGCTTGCGTATAACTGCAATAAGCATTTTAAACTTTTATGCCAACCCCGTACGAAGGACGGGTACTCTGCTAGTCCTACATATATTTACAATTTCACCTCTGTTCATATTTATCGATTGGAACCATGGGTTTCTGAGGAATAATATATTGGTTTTTTGCATTATTGGGCTTTGTGTGTTGTTATTAATTGATCATTCATAATGTCATCGTCTCTTTTTTTTAAATGATTTAAGGTCGTCAATTGTGACGTAGAATTCTTGATTAATATCGTTGTTTATTGCAGCTTTTACTAATTCGTCAACCACCTCATTACATCTTATGCCTACATGACCGTTTATCCATTGTATGGTATATCTATTGGAGTAGTTATTAATTATTTCTTTTACTATGCTTCAAAACCATGTCATTGTAAGTTGAGTCACCTTGAATGGCATGCTCAATGTTTCTTGCAATCAGTGCAAAAACTATATCTTTGTTATTGACTGACAATTATTGTATATTCTATGGCTTTATACACCGCATACATTTCCGCAAAGTAACTGGAAGTTTTATAATTTAATTTGAAGTTTAACCATAGATAAAACATCTATGGTTTAACCTAGTATTGTTATATGGTACATATAAAGCAGAAACTGTGACCTATCACGGCCGCCTTTAACCTTTAACTACGACCTATACCTTCGCTAGTCTTTGTTGACCCATCTGTGTAAGGGATGTAAAGAAAGATGCTTATGTTTATAGGTTATGTTGACCATTCACTTTTGTCTGCTCCTGCTGTTTGTGTTGTTGTTTTGTTATAGGCCTAGTTCAAGTTCAGTTCAGTGAGTGAATTGTAATAGACAAGCGAAGTCCTCTAGCTAGAAACTACATGAATCAAGATAATAGGGTTGGGTCTGAACATCAATGAACAAATTAGGCCTATTAAATTTTTTTTTTTTATGTTAAGTTATGTGATGCTCATTGCATGTCCTTCTCCACCAATTAATTTTGGAACTAGGTTATAACTTGTTTCTGAGTGTAACTCATAAGCACCTAGGCCTAGGTCAAACGATCTCCTTACTAAGCTTCAGTAGGGCATTGGAGTATTAATTGAGATCCTTTTAAATTGATTTTAATATTCTGTTCCCCTATCCTACAGCTGAAATGGCGCTGTCCTTTTGTAAAAAGCTGCAGAAATTATCACAATCATGCAGCGAACAGTTTATTTGGCCATTAGTAATCCAAACGAGGAACCGAATGGGGCCACCAATAAAGAGACATCATGGTTTTGATCAGCCAGATCTTCCAAAACCTTCCGGAAAATTTTGGAGGAAAGTGGAATTTCCTGAAAAGTATACTGTGAAACCCCTTGAAGTAAAACGACTAGGAGGGCGTGATCCAGAAACAGGTAAGTTAAGTTAGAGTTAGCCACTTCATGCAGGGTTTGCCAATACTCAGTTTTTTAAGCAGTAGGCCCAGGGCCGCGTTAAGGGTCAGTGGCGCCCTGGGCAAACCCAAAAGCAGCGCCCCCCTTATATGTATATATATATACTGTATAACTATAAAGGTTTTGACCACAGCAGTGTAGGGAGGGGAAGAGGGAAGGGGGGTTGACTCATTAGTTCACCGAAATTAACAGCAGGTTGGTTGGGGGTTGGGGTGAGTGCAATGAACTTGACAGTAGTTGCTATGCGATGCGATGCCTCTTGCCCTGCGCCGATAGCTTAATGCACTACGCACTACGCAGTGATTTGATTACTGTTCAGTACAGTACAGTGTGCAGTTCATTGCATTATAGGCCTACACGTATTGAACGAGATTCTACTAAGGGAGTATGTTTTTTCCATGGTTCTACTATAGGCTTATATATTTATACATTAGTGTGTTTTTTTGCCAGTTTTGTTTCGGGAGGGAGTTTTCAATTCCGTATCAGTAGAAATACTGGTTAATACATTTCACTTTCTTTAAAACTGCTTCTAGAGTTTGTTTTCTTTGAGCCAACCGCTTGCGGCTCTCGGCTCCACTAGGTTTTTTATGCTTTTTTATGCTTTTTTATAGGCCTACTTACTTGTATCAACACTTCTCTATTTATTTATTAATGGTTCACTTAGGGCAGTGTGAGTGTCAACACTGACTAGTGACTGTCACAGTTTAGGTTGTGTTGTGACTGATTTGACGACTGTGGAACAAGCACAACACGAACACAACCTATAGTTCGGCCGCTTAGAAAACGACCTGCGCACTAATGCTAAACCAATGCTGGAGGAGGTCGCTTTCTACGCGGCCGTGCTATTCCCGTAATTTGCTGATGTCGCCCAAATTGCAAACAAAAAATCAGCTGATGTATTGCCATATACTTAAGTATATATTTGTTTTGTTTTGATTTTTATTGTTTTTACTATAACTTTTCTCAATGGTAAAATGGTGTTTGCAATCTGAGTGACGTCAGCATAATATGACGGGAATAGCACACCTATGTATTTTCTTTCCACCATGCAGGCCACCCTGCCTCTGATATTATAGTGAGTGCGCCCGGTTCACACTGCTGTCTGCCTTTCCCTGACTACACGAGGTATAACCTGAAGGTCAAGTATTTTCAATTTTGTTGTATTTATTTACTTTTGCAATAATGGAAAATCACTTGACTACATGTTGAAATCGCCCTTTTTATTTTTGAAATCCCGGCTGATAAAACCCTATTTTTCCTAGTGCGGGCGGTGGTTCAGGGCGCCCCTCGGGCGCCCCCCAACCGCCGGTGCCCCTGGGCATATGCCCAGTCTGCCCGTTTATAAAAGTGGGCCTGAGTAGGCCTAGGTAGGGTTATGCCCGAGGAGGGGCGGGGGTGGCCCCCTTCGTCCCTCCTAAGGATCCGCCATTGTTATCAAGTTGTACTGTTATTTATTCCGTATAGGTGCCTCCAAACAAATTTTTAATTTTGATATCTTACTTTATAGTTTTTTACCTCCTGAATCCAAATATAGGCCCTAGGCCTTACCATTTTTTCACCGCTGATGAATATTTCTCAAGATATCGCCGTAAAAACATACTTAACATTACAATAAACAAGATAGGATGGATAACATTTTAAGTGATTCTGTAGTCAAATAACTTAATGTTCTCTATAATAGGAGTTTCGTCACATTATGGAGCTATAGATGGACTGGTGGACTAATTACATGTAGTTCTTATTTAGGCATGCCAGGGTGGTAGGTCGTGCTGTATGTGAATTGGTGACACTGCATTAACACTGCATTAAGTGTTTTGAAGTTAGGTTAGATTAGGAAGGTAAAGTTTAGGTTATAATGTATTGAGTTGTTAGTTTATGTTGCCTGCAGACTGTTTTTGTAAAATTAAAATCCTAAGAAAAACACTTCAAATTACTTTTTCAAAAATGCTTGCATTCACCAATTCACATAAAGCACGACATATCACCCTGACATGCCTTTTGAAATGAAATGAAATGAAAAATGTCTTTATTTAAGAGGCGAAGTTAGGACTAGCAAGTCCTCTCTACCACTTAACCTCTAAAACATAAATAAACTATCCACTTTATAAATAAAATAAAATAATCTAAGGTACCATATTATAAAAATGTTGAAATTAAATTTAAACCCAAAAAGTCCATTCACACATGCCGCCAACAACCCGCCACACCAGCGCCAGAGACTCATTCATGCCTGCTTCTCAAAATCATAGATTTTATCTCTGCCCCAAACCTTGCACGGTTCTCTATGGATTTTATATGGTCAGGAAGAAAATTCCACATTCGAATTGCAGATACTAAGAAAGATTTATTAAAAACTGTTGACCGGTGAATTGGTGTAGATAAAAGAAGAGAGCCTCTACGAGTGGAACGGGTACTGATGTCAGAAATGAAATGGAAGTTATCTGATAAATACTTAGGAATTTTACTGTTGATAATGGAGTGTAGAAGACGGAGGGTGTGAAATTCTCGAAGTTCATTTAGCCTCATTAATGAAAGCAGGTTGAAATATGGAGTCACATGGTCATATCGTCTAAGGCCAAATATGAATCTGATACAGGAATTCTGCCCTCGCTGAAGTCTGCTAGAAACCTCATTAGTCATGTCATTGATCACCACATCACAGTAGTTGAAATGAGTCAAGATGAGAGTTTTTACTAACATGATTTTCAAGTTCAGTGGAAGGTATTCTGCGAAACGTTTGATGGTGTGAATAGCCCCAAAAACCCTGTTACAAGTGGAATTTGCTTGGCCAGACCAATTCAAATGTTTGTTCATTATGAGTCCTAAGTTTCTCACTTTGTCGCAGTAGGTAAGGTCTTTTCCGTCAAAGCTAAGTCGTAGTGCAGTGAGTAAGTTTATTTTCGTCATTAATCTGGGGTAGCCAACAATCATTGCTTGAGTTTTGTCAATGTTGAGTTTAAGTCCGTTGTTTGTGGCCCAGTGAGTTATTGATTCAATGTCAATGTTCATGAGTCGCACAGCAGTATCCATCTTGTCTACATTAAAGTGAGAGTAAATCTGTAAGTCGTCAGCATACAGATGGTAGTGTGAGTTAGTGATATGTTCTGTGATGTCATTGATGTAAATTGAGAACAGTAGTGGGCCAAGAACAGAAACTTGAGGAACACCTCTAGTAATCTGCTCCCAAGTAGAACATTTGTCACCAGCTTTGACACACTGCTGACGATCAGATAAATAGGACTCAATCCAGTCAACACAGTTGTCAGAGAAACCAGCCAAGCACAGTTTCACGAGTAAAAGAGGATGGTATACGCAGTCGAACTCCTTTGAAAAGTCAAAGAGGGTTAAAATAGTGGCCTGTCTGTTATCCATTGCACGGCGGATGTCATCAGTAATTTTCAACAAAGCAGTGGTAGTGCTATATTTCGCGCGAAACCCAGATTGAAAATCCGATAAGACTTTGTTCTCTTCCAAAAAAACTGATAATTTATTATGCACTATTCTTTCAAGGCATTTAGAAAGGGCAGGAAGAATGCTATTGGTCTATAATCAGAAGGGGTATTGGGAGATGAAATTTTCTGAAGTGGGCGAACAATGACTTATTTCCAGATGGAGGGGAAGGTAGAGGCTGCTAATGCTCTGTTAAATATGAATGTTAGTACCGGGAGAGTAACTGGTAGTGTCTTTAATAAACCTAATAGGAATATCATCAGCGCCGACTGCGTTACTTGTCATCCCTAGGATTGCCCTGCGAACATCAAATTCACTAACTGGGGATAAGAAAAACTGATTTTCTGGCATGTCAAGTGGTCTAGATGTGATATCGGCAACATGGTTAAAGGCACCTGCAGAACTTATAGGAATATTCACAAAAAAGTTGTTAATAGTGTCGAGACTGATGGATATTTGATGTGAATTTTTAGACTTGCCGATACTTTGGTTCTTAACTTTGGTCCACAAAGTTTTGGAGGATTGTTTCTGGGAGAAAGATGTATAATAATACCTGGCTTTAGAGTTTCTAATCTGTTGTTGGGTTTGATTCCTGAGTCTTTTGTAACAGGCCCAGTCATCAGGGAGTTTGGTGCGCTTGGCTTTACGAAATGCAGCATCTCTATTTTTTTGAAGTTGTCGAATAAAATCATTTATCCAGGGAGCAGGAGTCTTAGAAACTCTTTTAGATAGTATTGGACAGTGTTTATTGAGAAGATTAGAAATGAGGAAAGTAAAATGCTCGACCATTGAATTGACATCAGGATCATTAGTAACCACATCCCACGGTAGAGTAGAAGCATATAAAAGCAGAGCATTGAGGTTAAGATTACGATAGTCTCTGTATTTAATCAAATCTGGGCAGAATTTGGGCTTTTTTAATTTATATACACAGAAAATCAGGTCATGTTCAGAAAGTCCAGGGGCAGAAAATTGACCATGGTGGGCAATAAAGGATGGGTCACTAACAGCTATGATATCCAGCAGTGTGTCAGCCGTGGCTGTGTGATGTGTGGCAAGTAAAGGTAAAATAGTAATGTTACAGGAGAAGAACAGATTTGTAAGTGTAGTTTGATCATAAGTAAGTGGTCCAAGTAGGTCAGTGTTAAAGTCACCCATCACAATGACATGACCATAGCGAGGCAGCAGACCCACCAAATCCTGTTCAAACTCAGCCAAGAACCCAATGTGAGGTGCTCTGTAACAAACACAAATCAAAAAATGTGTTTTGTTAACACAAACGTCCAAAAACAAATATTCAGGTCTTCCCACTGTTTCTGAGTTAGACTTTAAAAGTACAGAGGAAGGAAAATGATACTTAACTCTCTGATGCCTTTTCTGACATCAAAAGGAGTTTGCTTACACATTCTAGAGGTTTGGTTATGAAATATGAAATAAAGAAATAATGAATTTATTTTCTCTTTTTGACAAAGAATTCACAATATATACAATCAGTTACAAAATCAAGACAA